GAGGCACTCGTAATTTTCGCATTGCACGACATTCAGATGACGGATGGAGCGTATCGCGTGAAAATAGGCGAATATGAGACGGAATACGCACTGCGTAACGCATTGCGACTCTCGAATATGCAGCTTTGCATGAAATATAATTTGACACAAGAGACAGGGTACTAAATTCAGTTTATTCCTGCATATTCATGGGCTCGTATTAGTTGATACTGGCATATAGTATCAAATGTAACGACTTAATGGCTTCCATTGAAATGATATAACGTTGGCGTTGCAGTATCAAAATATATATTCGAATTTATGATTATATCTTGTAGTATAGGCGTGCTACATGCAACGTTTCAAGAGCGAAATTCAATACGCATATCGACGATGATGTTGTTCTCGAAAGATGCAATAATAGTTACTATTCGCGAAAGCAGGTCGCTTTTCCCCCGTTTTCCTCTCGTTGAAAAACCGCTCGTACTCGCTCGTATTCCGTTTTATATGTGACAATTAATACCACAAAGGCTTTTATGTACATTTCGGTATTCAAAAATGAAAGCGGATTACAACTGACGTGCGGATTCCCGAGCATTCCAAGGAAGCTCGAGCAAAGAATTTTTTGACAGCCGCCCTTTGAATCTCAAACGGAATATTCCGCGGAATATTCAACATTCCCAAGAGCTTGCGATACTCAGATCATTATTAAGTTAGACGCTAATTACCGCTTCGCTATAATTAAGTATTAATTTATTCCTCAAACGGCACGATGCTAAGAAGATGTCCAAAAAGAGCGCGAGACAATGGAGCGTCTTTTAGAGATTTGCGAGATTTGCGAGATTTGCTTTCCGCAAATCTTTTAGATTTCTTCTTATCAGTATCATTGTTAATGGCTATCCCATTATTGCGATTGTGACGGAGCATTGTATTTTTCCAGATTCCCATAAGCCAATCAAGACGAAACTTTTTCGTAAACGCGGACCATCGGGTTAAGGGTGCCCTCGAGATGCGGTGATGGCTTTGTTGTATAGGTTCGCGCAGCTGCACGATCGCAGTGGCACGCGGGTCTTCTCCTTCGTCGTCACTAGGACCGTCGTGCGCGATCCTGAGAGGGACGTCACGAGCAAGGAACTAGTATGCGGCTTCCAACGATGGGCCGTCGCTTTCTCACGCGGGGAAAAGGTAAAATCCTAAGTTTAAAAAATTTATCCTTTCTTTCTCTCTTCGAGAGTTTCTTCAAGAATCGGAAATTAGAAATAGAATTATAAATGAATCCTTCTTCTTTTTTCAAGAATTTCTTTCAAGAATCCAACGTTAGAAATTAATTCCTTTGCTTGTGCAAAAAATGTATCGAGAGTTATTATTTTAATTCTTCTTGCTTCAATTCTTAATCGCACCAGATTAAATTTAAATCTCCGAGATTAAATCTTTTATTTCATGAAATACGATTGAAATGACGAGTCAAGTATATTTTATTTCGCTATTATTCGGCGTTAATCCTTCCAAGGTCCTGGGCGTGTACCTGGTATGGCGTGGCGCATCAAGAAACCTCCGCGTTTACGTGGACTTTACGTTCACGCTGCTAAATCGGGAACATTTCTCCATGAACGAGAGCTTCTCCGGGAAGCGCGTCAAGTTCACTTACGAGGCACCGGCCCAGGGCAACCGCAGCTACATCGCCGTGTCGGATCTCTACAGCCGTAACTTCGCCGACACGAACGGCGAGTTTCAGTTGGAGTTGTCCATGGCGAACGTACGGACGGTCTACATGACCGAGGTCAAAATGCCAACATCGGTACTCGGCCAGGCGAAACCGAGCAAGCTGGAGACCGATTACTTCGCTTTCGGTGGTTTCGACTGGAACTTGGTTATTTATCCATACGGTAAAGAGACGGATAGCACTCGCGGTCAGGACGGTCGCGTGAGCGTCTATTTGATGAGACTATCGGGCTTCGATCACCGGTGCAGAGTGAGGTACAGTTTAGCTCTCGGCGAGGGCGATCGGCGGATCGACTCTGGACAAATCGAAGACCTCTCCGACGCCGAGGGCTGCGGCTTCGGATGGCACACGCGAGTCAAATGGTCCGATATCGCGCATAAGGGCATACTTCGCGTCTCGCTGGAGATGCTGGAAGCGAGGACCATCTGCGAGGTCGCGGTGCAGGCGCTGGGCCCGTCGGTCCTACCAGCCGCGCCCTGCTACGACCGCGACAAGCAGGCTTGGGCTATCCGCGCCGATCTTAACTCCGACACGGTCAGACTGCACTTGGTGTACAAAGACATCCACAATGTGCCGAGGAATCATTTAAGGTGCGTATCAAATATGTTCTTTTTATCGAAAAAAACAAAAAACTCCAGATTATTGTTACGCATATAGCGAATTTTTCCGAGTGAGTATTCGTCACTGTTGGTATTTTTTGTCGCAAAAACTTTTAATCTCCAAGTTTTAAATGATTGATTATTGTGTCATAGTATAAATAATCTATCAATTCGTGAAATTAAAATTGACGTTAATAGTATAATATTTCATAAGAATATAATTCTGTCAAAAAATAGATGCTTTTTTCGCAGACAAGCCAATTAGTAAAATTGGAGGTGAACATATAATAATATAATATTTTTGATTATAGAACTTTTTGATTATAAAAAAATAGATATTTCTGCACACATGCCAATTAGTTAAATTGAAAACGGCATTAATAATATAACGATAACATTTCTTGATAGTTCTGTTAAAGAATAGATGTTCCTCTTCGCACGTCGTAAGGATATTTAGAAAATATATAGGAATTTAAATCTTTTGGGTGTTAATTAATATTCTACGAGCGCTATTTCGTCTAAATAGGTACGTCAGTTGGTCGGCGTACTTGCTGAGGGGCGAGGGACCAAACGTCGCGGCGATTGGACTGCCCGGCGAACCGTTCAGCCGCTACTATGTTCAGGAGTCCGTCGACGAGGGTATCATCATGGAGACTAGCGTGGATATGAACGAGGTTAAGGAGAATCACTGTCCGTATCTTACGGATAAAGGTCAATTACGGATCCGGCTGGAATGGCACGAGAGCCACCTGCTCTTCCAAGCAACCTACCACAAGTACGACGACGTGTGTCGCGTGCACAATCAGCAGATGCGACGTGAGATCATGTCGCTGCAGGCGGAGAATTACAGTCTCGAGCGACAGTTGTTCAGCTATCAGAAGAGCCTGGCGTACGCACAGGCGCAGCAGCAGCAACAGCAGACACATCCGAATCAGCAACATTCGGTGGGCCATCAGGGCCATCTGGAGCGATCGGCGTCCAGCGACACCGAATACGCCTGACAAGTGGAACTCGAGTTACCAGCGTCATCACCAACACCACCGGGGTGCCGGCGTCAATTGTCAACGGCGGCGGCGGCGGCCGCGGTGCCGGACGACGACCAGCGGGTGCACCAGAATCTCGTCAAGATGATGGACCGGCGGTTGAGCAATGTACAGCTGCAGCAGCATCTCTACGAGGAACAGCGGCATCATCGGCACAGCAACGCCAGCTACGGCAGTGTCTCCTCGCCCAGACGAAGCATCGATCGCAACGGCCAGGAGCATCGCCGCAGCATCCTGCAGCAGCCCAGATCCAGCGTCGCCGCCAGATCCAGCAACGGCAGCGGCGGCGGCAACGGCAGCGGCGGCGGCGGCGCTTACGAGAATCACGCTAACAACAACAACGATCGGTACGCCGGCTATTATCTGGGATACGTCGGCCAAACGGCGCACAAGCGACGCAGGACCACGTTTTGGGAAACGCTGACCGGTCTGGTGTGTTCTCTGGGCGCTCTCGCCTCCAGAGCGGCGAAAATGGCTGCTAGACGAAGCGATCCTCTCTGAGAGTACGATTAATGACGGCCGAAGATCCGACACGACAATTGCGATCGCAGGGATGGGCAGACGCACGGAAATATGACGTGGAACTTATTCGGATACATGTACGACGTTTTCTGTCTCATGTATGTCGGTGCAAATCTCTCACGAAATGGATTTTGATTGCAGAGATATCGGAGATAAGTTATACGTTGAGGATTCTGATTATATAATCCTGACACGTAGTAACACACGTGAGTAGTCGACGTATTTTGTTTCCTTCAAATTTCGTATAAATAATCTCTCTTCGAAATTGGAAATATATATTATATTTCTTCTTGGATGTGCGCTATACTTCTTCATTAATTGTTTTGAAATTTAATGTGATGGTAGTATAATAAAAAAATTGAATTAATTTAATATCCATTGCTAAGGTAATCTTCATTGATAAGATAATATGTCATATTGACGAGCTTGCGAGAATTTCATTAAGACTTTCTTGATACACATTTCTTCATGGATGTTTATTCATACAGTAATCGCATAAAAAAATGTATCTTTCTACTTGAAAAACACGTCGGAGATATGAGAAATGAAAAATGCTTTGTACGCGCTGTACATCTCTTTGAATAATCAATCTTTATGCGAGTCGTGTTTGCCGATGGTTCCCGATTTAAGAGATCACCGTACCGATTTTACGAGACAGAACATCTCGTATACATGAAACGCGGAAACACGATGAGGAGCAAAAAGGATCGGGGAAAGAGGATCGTAAGAAGGGTCTAGGGCCGCGTTCTTCTCGACTCTACACCTACACACACACGCATACACACATACACAGATCTACGCACAGGAACACGGATCTACATAAACACACACAAACACACAATCTATCTACTTGTCAATTTACTAAAGAACCTATTTTCCTCTAAAGACTTTTTTCACCTATTGTGTACATCGCCGTGGAAATAAGACGATACGAGCGCTGGCATAGTCGCCAAGCCACACAAGTAACAATACTGTAATTATCGTAGTACGTATATTAAACAGAATTTTAGAATACAGTCAATGTTACATAAATGAAGACATGCGAGAGAAACAAAGAGAAATTGAGAGGGAGCAGAAGAAGCATAGACTCGTGCTTCTTCGGAGGCCCTTAAAAGTCTGCTTCGCGATGCGCATAATGCCATCGCAGTGCAAATTAAGTTCACTCAGACATTCTAGTCGATTTCGTCCCCCCTTCAAATTAGTCTTTTTACTACGAACATTAAGAATGCCATTGTTACATGTAAACTCTACGTTTCCATTCAAGCTATCGCTCTACTCGCCGTACAAATATTTAGCCGAAAGATTGAGCCAGTTCTATTGATTCTAAAGCGGCTGTCCCAGAGATACGTGGATTAATATAAGAAATGATAAGATGTATTCTGCAAACTTGAATTTATTTCGTATTTTCGTAACCGGGAATTAGTCTTAATATTCGTCATTTCTCCTTCATTTTCGATTAAAACAACAAGAAACTTAACAGATTCATTTCTTTACATCACATTAAATTCCTTTCTATTTTACACTTCAAGAAATGTACAATACGGTGTTAATAGATTAGCGATACAAAGATATATAAACTAAAATTTCAAAGTTTTTGAAGCAATTTCCGACTTCAAAGGCTGAGAATTCGGATTTACAGAATAAATTCAATTCCTGCGAATTCCTTTTATAACTTGTCTATTTTTCAAACGTCCCAAAGGAACCAATGAATCGTTCTCTCACACAAAGTATCACACGACTGTTAAAGGGAATTAAATCGATGGCGTCATACGCAGCCTACAGGCACGAATTCGGACTGCAACTCGCTTTTCGTCAAAAGCTAAACGATCACGATAAAAGAGAAAAAGAGAAACGAACAAACCACCATTCTTCCACTGTTACATGTTCACGAGTTCAACATTATTGGAACGATCAGATCGCTTGGTTACTTTTCCAAACACTCGCTACACGTTCTTACTTACGCCTTACATTACGAGAATTGCAAGAGGGTTTCGTCGAAATTGCACCGTTCTTATGCCGCGCATTAATTTCCTATTTGTCGTGTAGCGATCGGGTATTTCAAAATCAGTATCTCGGTATCGACATTTTGATTCCGCAATCTATGATAATAATACGCGAGCAACCGATATAATTTCCTTATTCCCTTATTTATTATATAGTACCGCATCTTTCGTCGACAAATCTCTATTCGAGATAAAAAATTATTATATAAAGAGAGTACAGCAAGATTGAAAATTTAAATATCTTTTTACGTATTCATGATCATGTTCCATATTTCAGAATTTTTCCACCTTTGTCTCTGCAATGCGTACTATACAAAACTGCATTCATGGAGAATTTGCGAGACAACGATTTTATGTCATTTGATATAACTGCAACTGTCGCACACCAGCAGCACTCAAATATTTATCGCAAACTTGCAGTAATGCATACCGCTAAAATGTATTTTCATACCAATTCGCAGTTTAAATTCTTAATTTAAAAATATTTTTCGCTCGGATACATTTTCTTGCTCCGAAAAATTATCTTGTATTTGTTCCTCTGAAATTACAATAAATTGCGGGAGATATATGATGTTTTCTAACGGCAAACAAAATCTCATTTTCCGTAATTACATAACTTCGCAGCCTCTCGTCGACGTTTTCATCTTGCTTTACTCTCTGCCGTCAGAATGATGCAATAATTTCCGCCTCGTTTCACCGCGATGGTATTTTCTCGTACGTAGCGTCGTACGTAACCGAAATACATAGCTATGCGAACCATGTACTATCCCCGTAGACATATATGTGTATCTGCGACACCGGCAGGTAACATTTGATCGATACAGTATCGCCGGTCCACACATCGAATATTCTCCGCGAATACATACGTACACATTTACGTACAGCCGAAACTATCTGCGTCGTAATGTGTTTGTGTATATATGTGATGCGTGTGCCCTCAGGTGATAATTCGCCCACATCTAGAATCTCACCTTTCCCATGTATCATCTGCACCAAACGTCAATCTATCAGGAAGAGAATTTATTAACACCAGAACTGCCGACGGTATATTTTTTCAATTTTTTTGCAATTTACAAAATCAAAATCGCATCAAAAACGGCGCATCCGTAGTATCGTTATTTTTTGCTTGAATTAACAAAAATCTTTTTGTAAAAATGCTAGATTTTAATGAAAAAATATTTTTAACGGCGATTTGAAAAATTCAACGGTTTTGGTGTTAATACCAATTGTTCACGAATTTAATCTATTTCTGAATTGAATAGTTTGTGGATTGCAAAACATAATTTTTATTAAATGACAAAACAAGATTTTCCAAATTAAATTTTAGTTTAAAAACTTTTCTCACTCTTTCTTTGTGTGTTGTTTTTCTTCCTAATTTAATTTACTTCACATTTTTACACGTTCCAGTCTATGTGTGCTATTAGTTAAAATTCCCATAATGATATACATATAAGAATGTTGTCTATATTATATATTACATGCTCTGGTTAACCGCGAAATCGATAATGGTCGTTGACCAAGATGCACGATTGTACAGTTGAAAGTTTTCGATGAGGAATGCTGCATAACAATGTAAACCGGAGATAAACAAAATGTACGAAACTGTAAAGCTGCGAAAGGACCAGGCTCGCAATAGTAGCTCGTAATAGTTATGCCTACATCGCGCACAATCTGTGTACTAGTACTGCAGTCAATTTCATCGGGATTATATCGGTCCTGCCCGCGTCTTAGTGACAAGATTTCCTTAGCATCCTTCGGCCGGAATGAATTCCGATCGCGGAGGTAAGCGCTCCCTTCGACCCGAAACTTTCTACTCGAACTCGCGTTCGTGACAGGCGTATATAGTAGCAGCAGCTCTGACAATCGCACCTAATCTCATCGCCACGATGAGGATCGAATGTTTGTTTGTCGGCACGATTTCTAACACTTCTGCTTTGATATGTTTGAAGATACCGCTAAATTTTCGAAATGCTGTATCCAATTTTCTATCTTCAATTATTAATTAGTTTGAAAAATAAATTGCTGTGTCCAGAATTTTCGAAATATCACAATAACAATGTAAACACCTTTTTGTAAAGACTAGATATCGATAACTTTTGAAAAGCAAATTATAAACAAACACCAGAAATTGTACCAGATTGTAAATTTATGAGAAATTATTCAAAAATTTAAAAGAGAATTTATTTAAGATTTATTTTATTTTATCAGTAAAAATTTTCACTATTCTTACTTGGATTTTCTAACAAAAATTTGAGCTCTGCTTGTCACCTTTTTCCATTCGTATGCTGATAACTTTTATATATACTGATGATTTGATACTGCTAAGTAATAAGTTCGTCAATAATTTCTGTGAGATATTTGAGAAGTTGAGCCAACTTAAACAAAGAAATGAAGTAGACGATTGTGAACGATAAGTGGTCCTCCGCACACTTACTGCGCGCAAACACAAGGACTTAAGTTTCTCATGCAGTCAGCGTAATTCAACAATTTGCAATCAATTAATTTCATTCCTGCAAGAACAGCGCGCTGACGCAACAAATGACAAGCAAACCTATCTCGTTAAATGATTACATAATAAAGATGAATAAAAAAGAAACTGATTCGTGCAAAGAAAAATTTCAAATAAAAAAAAATTGAACTTGATGAAGTATAAAATTACGTATTTTCTTATAAAAATTATCACAATTATTACTTTCTTGTGAATCGTAAAAGTCGCACTTTTCCATCACATCAATTTTAAAATTAATTCTAATTGTTTTATATTATTATTCTCGATTAAAGTTTAGTAATTTATTTGGAGTTTCACGAAGAAAAGCAGAAAGGTGGAAGCAAGGTACGCCGACAGACAAATATACATATACGCAGAAAATAATAAGAACACTCTATATAGTAATAGACACGCGCGGTCGCGCTTATTAGTTCGTACGTATAAAGATCGATCCGCGCGATTGATCTCGAATTCTTTCTCGCGCGCGTTTTATTCTACATTCATCTCGCGCTCGTTTACTCGCCGACACCGTATTCGTTCGACATACACGTTATATATGTATATATACGATTTTTCGATGTGTACATCGTCGTTTGCCGCGCCATTGTGTCGCAGCCGATCCAGCAAGTTTTATGATTATGCAATTCACGATTATGTACCTTCCTGGAAAGATCAATCGAAGCGATACCACCCCGATATTTTTTCATATTATATAATATGACAGTTGTCGCTCCACAATAATTTCATATTTATATAATAACAATCGTTTGAAAGTAATTCTAAAAGAATTGTCGAGAGAGATCATACTCGAGTTTGAATTTGGCGAAATTTGGAGAACAATTAATAACAAATTGGCTAATCAAAGTCAAGATAAACGTGCAGTGCACGAGATTGTTAATGAAATATGCTTAAACAAGCCATGTACATATATGCATATACAATATATATGATATACAACACGTACGTATATTTGTATACTACATGTACATACATTTGATATCGAGCGCAATATATATCATCCAGTTATCCTAATGGAAAAAAATTTAAATATCGTTATATAAAAGAAATGATCGTTATATGAAAAATTATAGAAAATAAAGCGACGCGTTTCGTTTCCTTTTTTTCGCGAAATTTCGCGATAAGAATTCCACTTATAGTTTATGCATATTCATTATCCGCCAAGATAAAAAGAAAAATGTAGGCGACGATACTATGGCGCAATACGAGGAAGCTTATGTCAAGTATAATTCGGCGTTTCCTTTTTCCGCCTGTCATCCAAACGGGGACTCCTTTAAATTAATGTTATATATCCGTACAACTTTTTCGAGCACAATGTAAAAGCACGTTTTCTGCGACCTTTTTTCATCCGTGTGATTCTACTAAAAATGATTAAATAAAAAAAAAAAGACAAAGATGTGAACGCAAAACATTCTCAAAAGTTTTGAGACAAATACTAATGTACTTAAACCATCTGTGAGTCTGCCTCGTCTTTTATAAAGTTCTTGCTATATTCAATCTGTCATATTCATTTGCACGATTTGACCTATCACCTATACAATCCTCTCCATTAATGATCAACCAATGGACTAAGAAAGCGAATTAAAGACTCCAGCCTCAAATATTTCAATGGAAACATATAATTCAAAAAGTAAAAATGTTTTTAAATTAATTAATATTATTATAGTTCTGTAATAATCGTAAAATTATTTGTTATTCCACATTTGAAGTATTTATAATATTTATATTTAAATATTATATAACCTTTCTATGTTATATATATATTACAAAATTTTAATAATATTAATTAATATTCTGATATTATCTAACATATAATATTGTTTAGAAAATTTGCTATAAATTGTAGAAAAAGATTTTAAAATAATAAAATTTTGTTTTTCTACTTTAGAAGAATTTTTAGCTTAGTGCGCTAAAATAATTTTTTATATTCATTTCGTAATTATTCATTCTATTCTTCTACAAAACTTTTACTGCAAAACAGTCATCCATCATAACGGGTGACCTGATTCAACAGGTGTCTTTAGTGGGGATACTCTTTTCTAGTCGAGCTGTCATTCGATATTCGTAATCATTCGTTGGAGACCATTCGAGATTGCGTGATCGTGGAATACATTAGTCGAATATGCTAATTGCGAATATCTACGAATAATATGCTTATTCAACAAAATTTTTTTTCTTTATACAAGTGGTCTTAAATTGAAAACATGCAAAATTGGTACTATCGAGACGTCTGTACGATATATCGAACTGGCACGTGCGTTATATAACCTCACACAGTGCAAGGTATTCTTTTCCTTATCATTTGTAAAGATAATATGTCAGCTGTACATTTATATATAATTCTTTAATTTAGTCTTCGTAGAACTGCCGATGAATAAAACATTCCGGTCCTTTTACTTTCGCGAATTTGAGATTCTAAATAAAAGCAAAGATACAACGAAGCAAAATATTTCTGGTAAATTCTCAAATTTGTTTAAAAAGTTATTTTAATAAACTCATTAAATTTAAAATATTTCCATTATAAAAAATTGATAATTAATTAATGCACGAGAAATTTTGTGCTGAATTTGAGTTACAATTATAGATGATTTGTGACAAGCAATTATGAGTAATATTTTTACTAATTGAAACCAACAGATATCGTCAAGGAGCAATTGAAGTCGAAGATTTCATCATCGAAAATTGTTTACCGAAAGACACGTGGATGACACGAAATTCTACAGTAAATTATATATTTTACGCGTATAGGTTACAAAGATAACCTATAAACCTTTAAGGAAAAAAATGAAGTGATATCAGGAAAGGTACGAAAATGTTGACGTTTTAGCGATTACCGCGATTTTTTAATGTGTCTAACTATCCAACTGATAATCATATAAATGTTTTTATCTCAAGTTATTGTTCAATTTTGATTACTTCAAGATAACATCATAACTCCTGTCATGACGTGATAACAGTCAACTTGATATTGTCATGTATCTCTATAAAACAGGGAGAATAGCGTGTTCCAGAAACTGCCAAGTGATTCCATGACCAACAACCAGAAACATTTGTTAAGTGTGTAAGATAATTTAAGCAAACATAGAGAACGGTCAAGAATACAGTCCTTTGAGACAAGAAGACAAAATGCTGACTCAACGACTGAGTAATCGGAGATTACTAGTTGATTTCCTCGCATTGATGTTTGGTTTGGGTGCTTGGATCGGTGTGAATGGTATTTATGTGCAACTGCCCCTCATAGTGCACACTGCTCCAGAAAAATGGAGTCTACCTGCACATATGGTGATACTAGTGCAATTTGCCAATTTAGGACCCATATTATACACTTTGTACATAAAGTAAGTTTCCTGCATTTTATATTATAGATCTTAGGATAACTACAAGTTTAACATAAATGTCTATTTCAGATATACTGCTTGGGCATATGACAGATACATTATTTATGCCTTGATGGCTGCAGGAGCATGTTCCTGTATTGCATTGAGTCAACTGCACGATTATACTTCGTATGTGTTTGGCAAGAATCATTCAACTGCCCTGCTGTCATTGATGTTTGTAACAGCCCTCGTTGGATGTACAAGCTCTGTGCTTTTTATACCATATATGAGGTACTATCGTGAAATTTACCTAGTATCTTACTTGGTCGGCGAGGGATTGAGCGGATTCGTGCCGAGCATAGTTGCGTTGATTCAAGGTGTCGGTAATCCTGAATGCGTAAATGTTACTAAGCCAGACTCAAGCAATTTGGAGTTTGCTGTTGTTCAATCAGATCCGAGATTTTCTTCCGAGATATTTTTTGCCTTTATTGGTATTCTACTCTGCTTGAGTTTTCTCTCATTCTTAGGCTTAAATATATTGCCGATAGCACGCGGAGAGAGAGTTAGACTTCCTAGCAGTATGGAAATGTTGCCGACCGACACGACGGCACCGCCGAGCTACAAAACTAATTCCGGGTGGAAGATGCCGAAACATACTTATTACTATTTGTTAGTCATGTTAGGCGTAGTCTGTTTTCTCGGCAATGGTACTTTACCGAGTATACAATCGTATTCTTGTTTACCATATGGCAATGTGGCATATCATTTGACTGTCACGTTAGCTGCCACAGCTGGTCCATTAGCTATGTCCTTAGGTTTCTTTGTAAAAATGCCCTCGGTTAAACTTCTTAATTATCTTATGGCAATCATGTTAACACTTTCCAGTGTTGTTTTATATCTAGCCGCGAAATCGCCTCATCCTCCTTTCCAACATTCATGGGTGGGTGAAATGATGGTAGTTATTATATGGATACTGCTTTGTGGTCTCATAGGATTCGTAAAAATGGGTATTACTACGTTATATCGGCCGGATCCTGGAAGAGGTCTTTACTATACTGGCGTAGCGACGCAGATTGGATCTTTGATAGGTGCAATAACCACGTTTGGTTTAGTCAATTATGCAAAAGTATTTCAGTCTTATTCTCCTTGTGCATCTTTTACAGGAGATTAACATATCTTGTACTTAGTCTTCTCAATTATTAGCATTGATAATATTGATGAATCAATATTCTCTGCAGTTACAAGGATTATTGGCTGTTTGATAACAAGTTTTAGTTCCTATTATAAAGTTCTATACAAATCACGAAATGAAGTATATAATTATGATTTCTATTTTTATTTTAGAAAAACATTTACTTATTATTGATTTTTAACGTATTAATTTGTTAGTGCATTATTATAGAACTTATACTAGTTACTAAATTGTGATTATGAATTAGTGCTAGTACTAGTACTTCCAGTTTTATGGAAATAGAAATCAATCTATTATATTTTTTAAATTTGTTTCAGGGATTAAACGTTTATATATTCACATCTTAATTTATATATA